CGCTATGAGTCGCAAACGACTCAACAGCACATAACAACAACAACAACATAAAATAACTTGAAATGCTTTAATCAGCTTTCTTCTGCTTCTATCATTAGAAACCATGTTCTCTACAATGTCCATTTACATGCATGTCACTAAATTCAGTAACCATCATACTTTTCCTTAGTTTATTTGAACTCTTTATAGCAGTATCTGTTGACCCCTCCTTTCTTTTTTAAGAATACTCCCTTGACTTCTGTCACACTAATTTCTCCTAGTTTTACTTCTATTTCTCTTCTTATAATGTCTTGCTAATTTATCCTCTTTCATGTGATCACTAAATGCAATAATAACTCAAAATTCTCTACTAGGCCCTCTTTGTTTATTCTTTAGAGGTCTCTGAGTGTTGAAAGGCATACAGACTGCTAATTGCAAGGGCAGCAGTTTGAGCTCAGCCAACGCACCTTGGAAGACTGGCCTGAAACATACACAATGGGCTACCATGGCAATTGGTGGAGTTTTCTGTTTTGTTTTGTTCTTTTGTCTAACCTAAGCATTCTAATCCATACCTTTAGATTCAATGACACAAATTCAACTAACTTGAACTCACTGCCACTGAGTCACAATTAACTCAAAGTTGGCGCTCCATTGGATTTTAGAGGCTATAAATGACACAGAAGATAGTACATCTTTCTCTTACAGACTCATTGGTAGATTCAAACTATCAGAGACGTTAGCAGTTCAACTCCCTCTGGAGTAGGCCACAAGAACTCGCTGTAAACAAACTAATGACTCCCATATTTATATATTTAACTCATACCTATTCACTGAGCTCTAGTCTACTCTATCAATGCCTACTAAACATATCCACTTTGATATTTCAAACTCAATGTGTCCGTAACATATTTATCAGGTTCCTGTTTTAACTGAGTAAAGGAGTATAAGTGGGTCTATGAGAGAAAGATGGACATTCTTCTCCCATGTCATCTACGACTAAACAACAATAAGTTGAGTTGAAACGGTAACAAATGAACCCTAATTTCACAGTAGATAAAATGTTTGACAAATAACTCAACCTGGAAAAAGGATGAAAGTCACACAAGTGTTGAGGACTTTTGTTCATAGGGTCGCTATGCGTTGCCTACAACTCGATGGCACATAACAACAACAACTCAAAAAGCAATGGTCAGAATCAATTAGCAGCTCCACAGAAGAAAAATGTGGCAGTCTCTTTCCTTAAAGGATATTGCCTGTGAAATTCTATGGGGCAATTCTACTCTGTCCTATTTAGTCACTATGACTTAGAATCAACTCAACAGCAGTAAATAAACGGTATTGGCATTCATTTAATTTCAAAAATCAGAAAGCTAGAAGCCATCCTTGACAGTCCAGTTTATATAATCTATTGGCAAGTCCTATCTATTTCATCTCCTAAATATATTAATACTCCACTTCTAATTCCATTGTTACAATCTAAACCAAATTATAGCACCTCAACTACTTATGAGACTCCTAATTATTGTCTTAGTTTCTATTCTTTCTTCTCTTCATTCTCTTTAAAACAGCCAGTATGATCTCATTAAACCTCAACCAGATCATATTACTTTTCTGCTTAAAGTTCTTTACTGTCTTCTTATTAGTCTTAAGGAATGCTATCATTTTCTAGAATTTAAGTCATGAGACTTCAAACATAAATTTTTAAAGATAATTTATAAATTAAGAAATTATCTAAGTCTAAATTGTATTTTTAAATTCCCCTCCTTTTTTATTTTATTAACCACAGTACAAAAATAATTGGCTACTAAAAATAATAAATACTAATACTACATTGTTGATGTGTACCATAAAGTTGGAACCAATCCATAGCTGTTAATCACACAGGAGGAGACTGCCTATCCTTCTCCTACATACTAATAGATAATACTAATACTACAACACTAGATGGTTCAAGGAATAAAATTCTTTTTTTGCTTGGATCCACAACACTCTTGGCACCAGCAGTCAAGAATCTAAAGACGAACTGCTCTGGGGAAACTTGCTGTCAGGGACCTCTCCAGAACAACGGTATCAGTCTGGAGACTAAGGTATGACTGATTCAGGCCGTGGTCTTCACAATTACTCGCTGTGCATCATGACTAGGGTGGATAGAAAAATTGATGACTCTGAGTAGTGACTGCAGAAGAGTTTTGAACACACCATGTACTGCCAAGAGAACAAACAGGTCTGTCCTGGAGAGGATGAAACCAGACTGCTCCTTGCAGGCAAGGATTCTGAAGCTCCATCTCATATACTTTAGGCATGTGGCCAGGAGGTACCTGTCCCTGGAAAAGGGCATTGTGCTTGGAAGGGTGGAGGAATAGTACTGAAGAAGATCCAGGATGAAATGTATTGAAACAGTAACTGAGGTAATGACAGTAGGTTTGTCGGAGACAGTGACACTGGCTCAGGATAGGGCAGAATTCAGAGTTCAACCTCAAACTCTTCTCCATCCATCATGGTGCTGCCAACTGGTCCAGTGGTAAGAATCTCTGTCTTCATGATGTGGAGCTTCAATCATTTTGAAGACTATAGTCCTTGACCTTCTACAGCAAAGTTTCAGGTCCTCCTCAGTTTCATCAAGAAAGGGTATGTCATCTGCTTAATAAAGGTTGTTAATAAGTCTTCCTCAAATCCTGATTCCACATTCCTCCTCATAAAGTCCAGGCTCCTGAATGATCTGTCCAAATACAGCCTGACACACTCCTTTCCTAATTTTGAACCATGCAGTGTTCCCTTGATCTGCCTAGGACTGTGTTTCCTTGATCCTAAGGACTGCTTCCTGGTCCAGTTATTGCGATTGGAGGAGGATTCATCAACAAGTTGTGTTATGTGGACAAGGTTATGACATAACTTTGCTTGCTAAAACTGAGGAGGACCTGAAGCACTTGCTACAGAAGGTCAAGGACTGTAGACTTAACTATGGATTGAAGCTCAACATCAAGAAGTGAAAAAAGATTCTTACCACTGGGCCAATTGGCAGCAGCATGATGGATGGAGAAAAGATTGAGGTTGTTAAGAATTTCAGCTTGCTTGGCTCCACAATCAAAACTCCTGGCATCAGCAGTGAGGAAATAAAAAGACTAATTGCATTAGGAAAATCTGTTTTGAGGGACCTCTCCAAAGAACTAAAAATCAACAATGTCAGTTTAGAAACTGAGGTGTGCCTGATTCAGGCCATGGTCTTCACAATTACTTGCCACATATTAGAGAGCTGGACAATGACTAAGGATAACATCAGAAGAGTTGATATCTTTCAGTTGTGGTGTTGGAGAAGACTACTGAACATATCAAGGCCCACCAAGAGAAAAAATAGGTCTGTCTTTAAGAAGGTGAAACCAAGCTGCTCCTTGGAGGCAAGGATTTTAAAGTTCTGTCTCACATACTTTGGGTACATGGCCAGGAAGGACCAGTCCTTGGAGAAAGAAATCACGCTTGGAAGGGTAGAGGGACAGTGCAGGAGAAGATGACCCCAGAAAAGATAGATTGACACAGTAATTGAAGTAATAGGGGTAAGTGTGTTAGAGACAGTGAGACTGGTGCAGGATAGGGTGGGGTTCAGATCTATTGTACATAGGGTCACTAGGAGTCATAAGAGACTTGATGGCACATAACAACATTATTATCCATCAATAGTAACTAAGTCTAGAATGAAGCTTTCTAGAAATAATTATCGACACAGTCAACTTTTGATAAAAAAATACTTTAAATATTTTTTCAGTTGCAAAAAATGTTATAAGATTTTTTTTGCTTTTTTTCCTTAATTCTCAAGTTTACTTGGTCATGTTTATCAAATTTTAAAAACCAACCTTTACACACTTCTCTTGGATCTCATTCCTCTGGGAAGCATGTTTTACTCCTGACTTTTCTTCTTCTATTACCAATTCTTCATTTTTCAATTTACTAAGGTGATGATCTGAAATCCAGTCCATGAACATACTTAAAAGCTCATAAACTTGTGAGTTAAGTGGTATCTATAATATTAAGATTAAATATTTATTTCAGTTCACCTCCTCATAAAATTTCAAAGACAATCTTCAAAATTTATCAATAATCATGGGACAATTTACCCAAATACTTAAAGAAGGTATGTATGTATTTTAGAATAGATCTTCTCCAAACATATCAAAGAAATTTAAAATCAAATATCCCAAATTAATAGGAAAAACACGATAAATTCTGACTAAGAGATGAAAGCTCACAATGAGGAAACTGAAAGAATCTTATATCCAAAATACAGCATTTTCATAAACATTTTTCATCCATATTTAAAAACAGAAAGTAAATGGACATAACTTGAGAATGCATCATTTATGTCAGAAATATTTTCATAAATTAATTTTTTTAAAGCTAAAGAATTTCCAATTACAGATATTCCTTACAGTATAACATTCTAGAAACCAGACACAATTCCTCCACCAGTACCCTGGAAACTGTCTTCTGTGAGTATACAAATATAGTGGGGAAAATAATAAGAATAAATTAACCAAATTAATTAATTTAATTAGATTTCTTTTAATATCCCTCTAAAACACATTTTTGATCAATTTAACTCAATATTGATCATGTGTTAACCTTAAACACAGAAATATGCTATATTAGATTCATGTTTTAAATTTTATTACAGAAATAACAAATTAATTCTAAAAATGAATTCATAAAAGGCAACTTAAAACAGACTATTATCTATAAAAGCAGAATCAGATACTGATCATAGAAAAGATAAATAGTAGAGTCAACACATTATTCTGAGCAACAGGAATGTTCAATCTCAATTTTCTTCAAAGCGTTCTTAAACATTAACTGGTTTTAGAGGAAAACTTAAATCATCTTTCATATTTAAGTATGAACTCTTCACTTTTTCTAATCTCTTCAATAAAGAACTAGCCCCAATCACTGAGCCACCGCCGAGGACTCAACTGCCTCCCCCTCGAGCCCCCTCGCTTCCCGACGCTCCGTCCCCCCTGCCCACCTTCTCCCGCCACCACCTTCCGCAGGCCGTTTCCACCGAGGAAAAGGAATCTTATCCTATGTCCACTATCCAGAACCTCCACTCTTTCGACCCCTTTGCTGATGCAAGTAAGGGTGATGACCTGCTTCCTGCTGGGACTGAGGATTATATCCATATAAGAATTCAACAGAGAAACGGCAGGAAGACCCTTACAACTGTCCAAGGGATCGCTGATGATTACGATAAAAAGAAACTAGTGAAGGCGTTTAAGAAGTTTGCCTGCAATGGTACTGTAATTGAGCATCCAGAATATGGAGAAGTAATTCAGCTACAGGGTGACCAGCGCAAGAACATATGCCAGTTCCTTGTAGAGATTAGACTGGCTAAGGATGACCAGCTGAAGGTTCATGGGTTTTAAGTGCTTGTGGCTCACTGAAACTTAAGTGAGGATTTCCTTGCAATGAGTAGAAAATTTCCCAGAAGGGAAATTAAACTTGTCACAAGTTTAAAACTTCACAGCTTGTATAATGTAACCATTTGGGGTCCACTTTTAACTTGGACTAGTGTAACACTTTCATGCAATAAACTGAAAAGAGCTATGCAAAAAAAAAAAAAAAAAAAGAGAGATTTACAAAAAAAAAAAAATTTGAAGGCCACAATGAGATATCATTACACATCCAAAGAGTCAAAAATGAAGAAGACTAACCTCATTAAACATCAGTAACGTTATACTATCATACACAAGTGGCTGGAGTATAGTGGTACAACAACTTTTGAAAACTATTTGGTGATACCTTAAAAAGTTAATGTGTATCTATCTATACCTTATGATTCTGAAATTGTAGCTGTGGGTATATAACCAAGAAGAATAAAAACCTAAAAAAGCCTTGCACATGAATATGCTCAACAGCTTTATTCATAATTTGCTAACTGCCATTGATTGAGCTGGAATTGACACACAGGATTTCTCTGTGAGGCTGTAAACTGCATGGAAGGAGACTGCTCACATTTCTCTGCCTGGGTTGGGGTAGCAGCCTAACTCCCTATATGGGACTACTCCACAAGAGCTCTATTATTCACAATAGACAACAGTTTTAAATAGTCCAGGTATCTATCAGCAGAATGGATAAACTCTAATAGAATACTACTGAGCAATATGAAAGAACACATTACTGATACTCTCAACAATACGCTGAGCAAAAGAAACATTACACCAATAAGTATAAACTATGCAAGTCTAGTGATTGAAGGTCCAGTATCAGCAAACTTATCTACTGTGATGAAAATCAGATCAACAATTGCTAAAAGAATCTAGCAAGGGGCACAGGGGAACTTTCTAAGATGATGGAAAAGTTATGTATCTTCATAAGAAATACATTATATGGATGTATACATTTTCAAAACTGATTATACTGTCTACTTAATCTGTATAGAAAAGAAATGTGTCTGTCTTGGAGACGGTGAAACCAAGTTTCTCCTTGGAGGTTCGGATTTTGAAGCTCCGTCTCACATACTTTGGGCATGTGGCCAGGAGAGATCGTCCTTGGAGAAAGACGTTGTGCTTGGAAGGGTAGACAGACAGCGCAGGAGAGGAAGACCCTAGATGAGATGATGGACTTATACAGTATCTGAGGCAATGGACGTTGGCGTGTCAGAGTAGGTGAGACTGGTTCAGAAAAAGGAAGGATTCAGAGCTGCTGTACATAGGGTTGCTATATATCACAGGTGACTCAATGGCACATAACAGTAATACACTATGACAGGTTTGAAAGCAGGAGTGGCATCCACTTCCTAAATAACATGCCTCCAGAAACTCTATGAACTTTGACAAATGTTGGTAGTGACTTCAGGACTTTTGTTCATAGGGTTGCTATGTGTTGTTCTCACCTCGAAGGCAATCAACAACAACAACGTGTATCCTGTGCCATCTGTGTTAACAGATATCTAATTTTTTTGTAATTTAGTGAAAATAAGTATATTTCACCCAGAAACATATTTCAATCTTGATAGAAAAGTAACATTTAATGCTGTGGAGTCTCGAAACACAATGAATAAAAACTGATGCAGTTAACTGGGCCAATGGGGGTAGGTATGTCAGGATTAGTGAGACTGGCTCAGGATAGGGCAGGCTTCAGGGCTATTGTACATTTAGGGTTACAATGTGTCACAGGTGACTAGATGGCACATAACGGTAATAACAATCATAAATCACTATAATTTATGTCATTGTTACTATGCCTGAAGCATTGCCTAAGTGTTATGGGACTATTATCAGCTTCAGTTTGCTTGGCTCTACAATCAACACTCTTGGTACCAGCAGCCAGGAAATCGAAAGAAAAATTGTATTGGAAAAATCTGCTGTCAAGGACCTCTCCAGAGTACTGGAAAGCAGCAATATCAGTCTGGAGATTAAGGTACATCTCATCTGGGCCATGGTCTTTGCAATTACTTGCTATGCATCAGAGAGCTAGATAATGACTAGGGATGACAAACAGAGAATTGATGCCTTTGAGTTGTGGCAGTGGAGAAGAGTACTGAATATACCACAAACTGCTAGGAAAATAAACAGGTTCACCCTGGAGAAGGTGAAATCAGGCTGTTCCTTGGAAGCAAGGATTCTAGCTCCATTTGACATACTTCGGGCATGTTGCAAGGAGGGACCTGTCCTTGGAGAGAGGCATAATGCTTGGGAGAGTGAAAGGACAGTGCAAGAGAGGAAGACCCTCGATGAGATGGACTGACTCAGTGACCGGGGTAACGGAAGTAATGTATCAAAGACAGTAAGATTGGCTCAGGATAGAGTAGGTTGCAGAGCTGCTGCACATAGGGTCGCTATGAGTCACAAGCAACTCGATGGTACATAACAACAACAGCATCAATTAAAATTATATTTTAGGGAGCGCTCTGGCGGCCTACTGGCAAGAAGCTGCACTGCAATCCCAGAGGCACGCAGTTCAAATCCACCGGATGCTCTGCTGGAGAAGGCGGGACAATTTCCTCCTGTACCAGTCAGATCTGATTTGATGGTACACATGCAGAAAATAATAAAAAATTTTAAAAAAATACTTTAAAATCATTTTCTGAAAGAAATTGCTAGGTAAATCTTTCCATAAATGAATGAAAGAAAAATTAAAGTACAAGAGAAATTTTACTAACTTCCCATTCAAGAAATTTTCAGTCATATCATACCTTACAAGGTTTAGAAACTGTTATTTTTTCTTGTTTTAAACTTTTCACTTCGTGAGCAGACTGGGAACTTCCTTTCAATCTCTGTATTGTCATAAACTCATACTTCCTCTGCAACAAATATAGGAATTAAAATACAGTGAATTAAAGGACAATTATTTTAAAACTCAAGCAAAATGTATCTATTTTAAAATCACTTTATCTCCAGTAAATGGCAAGCAACTTACTTGTAAATTATCTAAACGAGCTTGGACTCTTTTAGCTTGAACCTCCATCTTCCTGTTTTCTTCACTGACTTCATTTAACTAATAAAAAAAAAGTTATTATATATGTTAACATAAATTTTAAAATCCTACTTCTTGTTGTTCTTGTGTACCATCAAGTTAAAACAGACCCATATCTGATCCTCTAGGTTTGCAGAGGCAGTTAATTGCACAAGAGGAGATTACCCATCCTTCTCCCGTGGAGCAACTGATGGATTTGAACCGTGTGCCTTTGGGATTGAAGCACAGCTTCTTACCACTAGGCCACCAGAGCTTCCTAAAATCATACTAAAGGGTGTCAAACATCTACTATCTTATCTAGTCTGTATAACCAAGCAATATGTCAAAACAAATAGAGGAAATATTGATAATTAAAAGACATCCGAAAGCATGTATGAATAACTGAATGAAAAACCCATGTGATCTATAAATAAACTTTCACTCAAATCACAATAAAGGGATAAAAATAAAGGACATCTATACTAAAATCACTACTTTTCTCTAAAGCACCAATAGTGTCTAAGGATATTTACTCACACTAAGAAAAATCTGCAAGACTCCTGACATCTTAAAAGAATTGACAATTTACATGCTCTTAACACAATATATATTGTATTTCAAACTCAAATCTTTATGAAGCCCAGTGATTTTAAATAATTCTATGAACTCTTCCAAACTTAAGTGAGACATCAATGTACAGTGGATTGATAAATATTTATAGTCATTGTTATATATGATTCTAATAAAGCTGTTTTGCATTTAAAAAAAAGGTATTCCTTTTAGAGACAAACTTTTTTCAAGTAAATTCTTTTTAAAGGATATATACATTAAAATCTGTAAATTTTGAGCATACAGAACAAATGAATTATTATTGGGATTGTATTAAATATACAAGTCAAACTGGAAGGAATGACATTTTTATATTGTATATCACCCTCCATGAATGTAAAGTATCTTTCAATTAGCTTAGATCTTCTTTATCCTTTTACTAATGCTTTGCAGTTCAGCGTATAGATGCTCCCTTTATTCCTAAATCAACTCATTCCTGTCCTATCAGAACCTACTCATAGCTTACTCTCCGTTGGATTTCCGAGTTTAAAAATGTGGTGGGAGAGATTAATGGGAATTATTGCCTATGAATGATTGTCAGAAAAAAAAATTCATTAAGATTTGTAAACTTTTGGGGAGCTCTGGTGGTCTAGTGGCAAGAAGCTGAACTGCAATCCCAGAGGTGCATGGTTCGAATCCACCAGATGCTCTGCTGGGAAAGGAGGAACAATCTCCTCCTGTACCAGTCAGATCTGATTTGATGGTACACACACATACAAAATAATAATAAAATTAAAAAAAAATATTTGTAAACTTTCACTCTAATAAGAGGCTTTTTAAAAACAATTGTATTAGAAGAGATGACTTCTAGTATCTCAGAACTGTCAGAGGCATAGCCTTTGGGTTTGCAGTGCAACTCTCTAAGGACAAAGCTCACAAAACTGGATTTATTTCTATGTAACCAATCTTTTTGGATACTACTTTCTAAAGGGACCAAAAGAGCAGGTAAAGTTTTATTCCATTATACATAAGGTTGCCATGAGTCAGAGGCTAATAAATAAACCACCTCCAAAGATCCTTTAAGCAATATTCTGTATTTTATCTGGTACATAGATATGTAACAGAGATCTGTGAAATACTTTTATCAATTCCAATAGACTAATTATACACACGTTTAGGTAATCTGTATACATGTTAAGGGAGCCCTTGGTGGCTTGTGGTAAGAAGCTGCACTACCAACCGAAAGGCTTATGGTTCAAATACACCAGCCACTCTGCAGAGAAAGACGGGCAATCTCATCCATCCCATGTGATTTACTGCTATGAGTTGGTTCTGACTCAATGGCACATTAACAATAATGTATACAAATTAGGGGAGTTCTGGCAGCATAGTCCACAGCTAGCTGCACTGCTAACCCAAAGGCTGCTCCTCTTTAGCAGTTCAAGTCCATCATCAGCTGAAGAGAGAAAGATGGACAGTCTCCTCCCATTATGATTTATAGCTTTAAAAAACTCCATTAGTCGGTACCTATTCATCAGCAGAGAGTTTGAGTCTTATATACATATTATGTTGTTTAGTTTCAAGGTTATGCTGTCTCACTGAACAAGGAGGGAAGTTTTTCCTTCTCTTGTGTTAAGGTAAGTGATAGTACATAACTTAGTCTGATTGGGACAAATATTGCCTAAAACCACTGTTGTGAAAATAGATTAACTGAGTAAGGTATGTATAAATGCTCAAGTAAAGGGCACAGAATAGAGAGAAGAGGAAATGATCACTGGGTTAGTGGAGGTTGGTGGGCATGGGGGAAGGGAGTGGGGGAATTTGGAGGGGACTTGGGGTGATTATACTTGGGGTGTAACAGACATGGTAGTTAACTGCATGAAGCACAGTGTGAATGAGGAATTGTATGGGGTACAATGTGCATGGATAAATCCCAATGTGTATGGGTGGTTATATATAAATAAATTTAACAAAAAGCTGTATGATATAAACACAAGATAATACAGATTTTAAAAGTATGTTAATTCTGCCTTTGTCCAGTACTTGATTGGAAGTACTAAAAGGGAAAATATGCTCTGGAGATAAGCTTGTTAAAAGTAGAATCCGGTAGTGGATGCTGGGGCTTAATCCAGGGAAAGATTGTTACTATGAGAAGATTTACACTTGAATGTACTTGTGGAGCCACGTTGGATTTTTGACTGAAGTGATTAACATTTGAAAGATAATGACTTTTTAAAACTGGAACAAGCTGTTTACATCTTCTCAGGCAGGGCAAAGGTAGAGCCCATCAGAGCCCTCTTCCAAGACATGAAGTTAAAGGGAGCTGGCAAGTATGTTCACTTATAGAAATCACCTGGATCCACTGAAGTAGAAGTAGGAGGCACATAACAATGAAGAGACAGGATGAACTTGGATGTGTTTCTTCAGCACTGTTCATCCAGCATGCACAGATGTATGGTTAAGAGAAAAAGGGTTGCTGGCTTGAGGAGCAGGGAGTCATGAGAACTCCTGGCTTACTGACTTGGTTCCATTGCAAGTTAAGGCTGAGTGAAGGGACCAACTGGTTTAGAACACTGGGAGAAGTGTGGGTTCATGAGTTCGCAGCTGATGCCCACAGACCAGAACCCCACCAGATAAAATGATCCATGCTGTGAGCTAGTGTCGATTGCTGTTGCTGATGACTTACTCTAGAATAGACTTTGCTTGTAGATGTAGATTCTCAAAGTTTCCAAAGTGAAGACTCTTCAGCAAAAGGGACATTCCTGTTCCCTCAGAGTAATGGTCTGAGGAGTTATACATGACATATACAAGGATAAAGACTAGAAAGTAGAAGGATTAATATCTCTATTTCTCTCACTCTTATAAAGCTGGAACTGATTCATAGTTGACCCTCCACTGGGTTCTGAGGCTGGAAATATCACAGAAAGAGAATGCCCTTCTTCTCCTGAGTTCCTGCTGGTAGACACAAACTACTAGTGAGAGGAGGCCTTTGGTTAAACAGTGTAACACCATGCTGACTAGCCACCAGAATTCCCTTTGATTAATGGAAATATAAATTACAAGGAGGAAGTAGGAAACCTGTGATTGCACTGGGGATATTGTAATTAAAGTTATAAAACAAAATACAAATGAACAGCTGCACACAAAACAAATTTCCTTTCTAAAGTTCCACTCAAATCACAATAAAATAAATGGATTAAACAGATCTTACCTGTTTCCTTAAGCTATCATTCAATTCCTTCAATGCATCAAAAGACGACTTCAATCTCTTACTTTCTTTAGTCCTTTCCTTAAGAACTTCAGTTAAATGTTCAACTTCTGCTTCATGTTGCTAGGTGGGAAAAAGAATTCTAATAAAAAATTGGGTATAGATTCCACACCATCCACGCTATCAAACACAAATTAATTAAAAATGACAACTCCTTAATTCTCAAGAATTTAATCAGTATATTAAGTAAAAGTGACTAAAATAGTAAATCATTTACACAGATTATATAGTATATCATCAAAACATAACATCAAAGTTTATAAAATACTTGCTAAGACCCACATTGTCAGACAAATTAAGCAGCAGTCAGTGTACTTTCTTCTTTAACTCAGAAAAAAATCTAACCATTAAAACCTCATAAAATACTTTCTATTTAACATCATGGAATGATCAAGTAATGATGGATTTATAACCCTCTTTCAGAGAATATCTGGATATTTCGGGTTTATGAATTAACATTTTACATGTAAATTTCTCTTGAGAAAGTAAAAGAAACTTTTTCCTCAACATAGTGAAAAATATATACACAAAACCAAGAGCCAATATCATTCTCAATGGAGAAAGACTAAAAGCGTTATCTTTGTGAACACAAGGCCAGATAAGAATGCCCACTGCCACCACTCCTATTAAATAATGTATTGGAAGCACCTAGGACAATATGGCTACAGTATAAGAGGCATTCAGATAAGAAAAGAGATGGTGAAACTGTTGCTATATGCAGATGGTATGATAGTATACACAGAAGACCCGGATGACTACAAGAAAACTGTTAGAACTAGTAAGCCAATTTAGTAGAGTGGCAGGATACAAGATCAATATATGAAAGTCAGTGGGATTCCTCTACAATAACAAAGAAAACACAGAGAAGGAAAATAAAAAAAAGCAATACCATTTATAAGCCAATCACGAACTGAACTGAAAAACAATAAAAGACTTAAATAAATGGAAAAATGTGCCCTGCTCTTGGATAGGAAGACTTAATATAGCTAAAGTGACAATCATACCAAAAGCAATCTATACGTTTAACGCAATTCCAATACAGATACGAAATTCATTTTTCAAAGAGATAGAAAAGGCAAATTGGTACGTTTATGTGGAGAAGTAAGAGACCTTGAATAAGAAAAGCAGTTTTGAAAATCAAGAATTAAGTGAGAGAAATAGCACTCCCTGAACTCAAAATCCACTATACAGCTGTAATAACCAAAACAGCATGGTACTGATACAACAACAGGCACATACACCAACAGAATAGAGAACCCATCCCAAGTCTATCTAAGAACATCATGCCACTTTGTATTGGCACCAAAGGTGCCTGCACAGCTCCAAACTCAGTAACTCACTCTCTACCTCCAGGTGCTGACAGTGTGCATCTTGTCTGTTGATAAGGTACCTAGTCTACAGCCAGACTCCAGATTGACAGAAGCATCACCCTGGAATGGGGTCCTTGCCTCTGGATTTGGCAGAATATGCTTTTAACTAAATGCTCTTATGGATTTCATGTCTGGCACATGCCATGTCCACAGCGGAAGCAGACAACTCTGTGTTTTCTTTGGGACAGTGAAAGGTGCTATCTATTGGGCATTTTGGGGTTGTAGTGACCCTATTTGGCAGGGAATCCTGTAAGTTTAGTATCAGGTGCATGCAGTCTTCCTACTAGGGTTGGAGTAGTACATCATCTGAAAAGCTGTCCAGCAAAACACACCATGTGCTCTCTACCTCCTCATGCCAGGAAAATGAGCCATCTCTGACTGAGGGGCCTACTTACCCCCAACTCCTTAGACTGGCAGACACCATCCTTGGCCAGCTAGACAACCTCAGGCACCTCTTATACTATCAGAAACTCTACCTCAGCTCAGATGCCTCACCCTTTGACACCCTCTAGGTTGGCAGAGGTGCCATCCAAGACCCAGCACCACATCCTGGGTTTTACCTGCTATCCACAGCCACTTCTGAGACAAGAAGACCCTGCTTTTACTGGACTGGTCACCATCTGCTGGACTGGCAGAAACAAGGGACTAGACCAGAAATCTTGCCTCCACTTGTCACAGCAACAGTAAGAGCACCAATCAGGCACCCAGTCCAGCCCCTAAAGCCTCTCTTTTTCCTATCATGTTCTATTCTTTTTCCCTCCTCCCTTTTCCATCCCCTTGGCCCCACCCACTGGCCCCATTTCTACCACTTTCTCTTCTTCATACAGGCTTTCTATTTTCCTGTCCCTGGCCTGTCTTTTAAATTTTTTTTTGTCTTTTTCTTTTGGTTCTCTTTCTTTTATACCTCTCTCAGTGCTATTTTTTCTTTTACGGTGTACTCTTATTTTTGTTTTCGGGAGTGTTTGCTCTCCTTCTCTTCTTTGTCCTGCCTGATAAAAGAAAGCAACAGTATCACACAACTCAGTCCCATACATACACAACTCCTGTACGTCTATCCTCAGCTGCTTTACATGTACAGTAAATGGAAAATTGCACATATACAGTGTCAATGTCTACAACATCTACCAGAAGAAAGGAGGCGAAAGACTGACAATTGCCAAACTGGCAAACTGCATTGCATATTCATTTGGTATAATCAGATATGTCAAAACAAAATAAAACAATAACACAAAATTATCACCAATGTCAGACGGATCTTAGCTGAAAGCTGAGAGCACCAGAGGAATGTCTATCTGTGTGTCACTGACTATGAAAAAGCATTAAACTGTGTGGACCACAACAAATTATGGCTAATCTTGAGAAGAATGGGAATCCCAGAATACTTGATTATGCTTATGCAAAAACTATACTTCAACCAGGAAGTAGTCATCAGAACTGAGCAAGGAAACATTGCATAGTGCCAAATCAGAAAAAGTATATGTCAGGGATGTATCCTATCTCTAAATCTTTTCAATCTATATGTGGAACAGATCATTTAGTAGGCTGGACTTCATGAGGTGAAATGTAGCATCAAGACTGGAAGACGACTAATCAGCAACTAGCGCTATGCAGATGACACAACATGACCTTGTTTGCTGAAACTGAGGAGGACCAGAAGTATTTGCTGAAGAAGGTCAAGGACTACAGCCTTCAATATGGATTGAAGCTTCACATTGAGAAAACGAAGATTCTCACCACTGGGCTAATTGGCAGGATCATGTTAGACGGTAAAGAGACTGAAATTGTTAACAGCTTCAGAGTGCTTGGTTCCACAATCAACATTGCTGGTATCGGTATCCAAGAAATAAAAAAATGAATTGTACTGGGAAAGTCTGTTGTCAAGGACCTCTCCAGAGTACTGAAGAGCCAGGATAACAGTCTAGAGACTAAGGTGTGTCTGACCCAAGCCATGGTTTTTGCAATTACTTGCTATGCATCAGAAAGCTGGACAATGACTAAGGATGACAGAAGAAGAATTGATGCCTTTGAGTTGAGGTGCTAGAGAAGAGTGCTGAATATGGACTTCCAGGAGAACAAACAGATCTGTTCTGGAGAGGATAAAACCAAGCTGCTCCTTGGAGGCAAGGATTTTAAAACTCATATGACATACTTTGGGCACACTGCCATGAGGGACCAGTCCTTGGAGAAGGACATAAAGCTTGGAAAGGTGGAGAGACAGAAGAGGAGAGGAAGACCCCAGATAAGATGGACTGATGGCAATAACTAGAGTAATAGAGGTAGGTGTGTCAGAGACAGGGAAATTGGGTCAGGATAGAGCAGCAGTCAGAAGTATTGTACACATAGGATTGCTCACTATGAGTCACAAACAACTCAATGGCAAATATCAATTTGCTCCATGAGGTTAATGTAAATAAGTAAGACAGTCTCATAATTTTCCCTCCACTTCAAGTATGTAATGGAAAACTTTAGAACTTAAATATTTCAGGAATAAAAAGCTCATCAGACAGGCTCAACAGCAACATGGAGATAAAATTAAAAAATACTGAATTTAAAACAATTGAGTAGATTCAATTGAAGAACACAGAAGAACAAAATTGGGAATAAAAAAGAAGAGACAACAGCAGAACTTTAACCTATGAGTTAATAATGATCCCAAATAAAAGCAGGAAGCAACTGGAGCAGAAAAAAATCTGAAATATTAACTAAAAACTTCTAGAATTTGGTGGAAACGCAAATTTACAATCCCAATAGCTGAGTAAATGCAAAAGAGGATAAATGCCAAGGAAAGCATGCTGTACATAATATTAAAGAGTCATGAAATTATTTCCTTTATATTCTAGAAAAAACAAAATTATAAAGACAGAAAAATAGATACCTAGAGGCTAGCTATAGATAGAGAGAGGCTAGGAGGAGGGGAAAGAAACCATTACAAAACTGCTGGGATGATAATAGCCATTTTTTAATCTTACTGGTAATGGTAATAAAATTACTGTTTGCATTTATCAAAACTCACAGAATTGAGTAACAGTGAATTTTACTCTTTATAACTCACACATAATGTGCCACCTGATATGAAGCAATGAAACAAATTATTCTTTAAAATATTTTTGATAAAAATCCTTAACCTAGATATAAAACTTTAAGAAACAAGCAAATCCAAGAGGTGAGATTTAAATAACCCTGATCTGTCACAGAAAACAAAAGATGTTGAGGGTTCCACATTAAAAAGCTAAAAATACTTATAGAACAAATATATGAACCTGACTAGCTCTTGATCAGAAAATAAAAATAAACAAAAATGTAATTTAAAGAAAAGTAATAAAGTAATAGTAATAAAAAGTAAAAGTAAAAAAGATACTTTGGGGACCAGCCAGGAACATCATTTAATTAACATTACTTGATCTGAAAATGATGTTATACAGAATGTCTTTATTCTGATACATTATAAAATATTCAAAGGTCATCAAAATTTTTGCAAGTCACTTTCAAGTAGTTCAGAAAAACAGTGGGGTAGGATGATAGGCAAATGTGGAAAAATTTTAACAAATAGTAAATCTAATTTAAGAAAAAAATTAATTACTCTAAAATCAAATATCATATAGTTACCTCTTTCATAATCTGAAACCTTGTAAGAACCTCTTCTTCAACACCTTTAATTTTACTCAAGGCAGTTTCATGATTGAAAAGCAGTTCTTCTCGCTCAGCTAAAAAGCGTTCTCGCTTTTGAAGTTCTTCAGCAAATTCTTGTTGTGCTGCAGTTTCACACTGTCAACATACCAGACTTCGGTGTTTTAAAACACATTCATAAATTCTGCATATTCTCTTGAGTATTCTTATTGATTGTGACTATGGCTTAAGAGGTTTTCAGAACACAAGTACTTAAGTAAGTGCATTACAGTAACAGACTACTATAGCAAGTAAACTCGAATGGAAATTCTACCTTCTGAGAAACTTAACTTGTGTTAAAAATATGAGCTGACTCAAGAGAGTATCCATAGCAGGTTGTACTGACAATCAAATACCTCTTCAAATCCACTAGCTGCTCAACTCCACTAGCAGCCCCATGAGGGAAAGATAGGTAGACTCCTCCCATTTAGATTTACAGCATCAGAAGTTGAATGGAGCATCATATGAATCAGCATCAACTCTGAGTGACAGTGAGGTGAGTTTGGGTATTCCTTTCCTACAGTGGGTTCTTTTGACTAAGCAGGATTTTGGTCAGCTTGGGAGGCAGAGCAGATCTCTTGGGCCAATGACCTCAAAGGAAGTTCTGGGAAACAGGTGAGCTCTGTTCTTCCTAATTCAAATTATTTCTCTAATGAGTTTTAAATTGATTATGTAATTTGTTAAAAATTAATACATTTAGTCAAGATGCTTCAAGGATTTCTCATACTAAAATATCTCAGCCTAGTGTATGGGCAAAGAAGCAGTGGTAAAGATTTCAGCTGTTAACCCAAGTGTTGATAGTTCAAACCCACCAGCGACGAGGGTGGTCTTCTGTAAAAATAGACAGCCTTAGGAAACCTATAGGCAGTTCTACTGTGTCCTACTGGATCAGTACGAGTTGCAACCAACTCAGTGGTAGTGGATTTTCACTACAGAACTCATCCTTTGAGAAACTTTGTTGGCATAGTGGTAAGAAGCTGTGCTGCAATCCCAAAAGCACATGGTTCAAATTCAGCAGCTGCTCTGTGGGAGAAGGATGGGCAATCTCTTCCCATGCAATTAAACTGCCTCTGAACATCAGCTGGAGGTCAGCTATGAGTCAGTTCTGACTACACAAAGACAACTCATCTTTTAGGTCTCAGTTTAAATGTTACTTTTTCAGAGAAACCTTAGTGACCTCTTATTCCCCCAATGAAGTATTTATGCTATACTCATATTATTCCTTCATTAAAAGTTAAAAATTGTAACTCTAAGCATATTTGAGTAGCTCTGGTGGCTTAATTATAAAAAGCTGCACTGCAATCTCAAAGGCATGTGATTCAGGTCCACCAGCCGCTCCACAAGAAAAGGACAATCAATCTCCTCCTGTGCAATTTACTGTCACTGAAAGCCTGCTCAAGGGTCAGCTAGGACTCAGTTTTGACTCAAACGCAAATAACAACTCCACAGGTATTTATAATTTGCTTCTAATAAACTACAGACAGTAGAAACTATCTATATACTCTGCATCAAGTACTCCATATTAACAGGTGCTTCAAGTATCTGTTATGTGAAATCATACTATGATAAAATTTTATGCTTAATAGTAACTTCAAAATAATAAATGACAACAAAGTAATTTTTAAAGATAGATTAAACCAAAGATTCACTAAACCAGATTAATCCACTGTATTTCAATTTTTTCCTCATGTTATATTTATATCTTTATTGTGTTTGCTCTAGATAGATATATCTTCTTGTTGTTATTGTTGTTGTTGTTGTTGTTGTGTAGAGTCGGAACCAACCCACAACTGACCCTCCAGAGGGTTTTCAGAGGCAGTTATCACACAGGAGAGATTGTCCCTTCTTCTCCCTCAAAGCATCAGGTGGCCTCAAACTGCATGCCTTCAGGATTATAGCACAGCTTCTTGCCACGAGGCCACCAGAGCTCCCTACATATATCTTAGCAGACCCTAATAATTCCCTTTATCCTAGTATCATCAATATAGTGTCTTCCTAAAATATCATTTTCTTTCACTGTTATTATTTTTCAAATATTGAGTACTGTTGTTGTTGTTGTATGCCATCAAGTTGGAAATGACACACACTTGACCCTCAGCAAGTTTTCAGAAGCAGTAAATTTTCTCCCTTGGAGTAACTGGTGGATCTGAACCATATACGTTTGAATTGGTAGCACAATTTATTACCACTAAGCCACCAAAACTTTGGAGTAGCCAGTCTTTTATCACCAATTTCTTTTCCCAGGTAGGCTAATAAATTCAAGTCTGAAAATCACTCCTTTTAATAACACCTTATCACCAATTCTTTATACTTAGAATGCTCTTCTCACTTTACTTTGCCCTTTCTTTACATTCAACCTCTCAGTCAAGGACCAAGCTAAGTATCTCACCTAACCTGAACTTTCCCCAAAAGGGGAAAATAATAAGCTAAAATAATCTGTTTTGAAATATTTGGTAATAAGCTTCTAAATTATTTTGTAAAATGCAATAATGTTTTAAAAAAAATATTTCACGTGGCCTAGTGGCAAGAAGCTACACTGCAATCCCAGAGGCAAGCGGTTCAAATCCACCAGATGCTCTGTTGGAGAATGAGGGGAAATTTCCTCCTGTACCAATCCAATCCAACTAGTAAATAGTAAATAGTAAATAATCAGATCCAAATAGTAAAATAAATAAATTTATTTCATTAATTCATGATATGTCTCAAACTAGAAGAATTTCATCTAGGAATTATAAATTACATAGACATGAACTTCCTTCAATATTCTCACCAATAAGACAGATTGGCACAATGACTTTAACAATGAGCTCAAGCAGATCAGAGGACAGCGGCAGATAGGGCAAGGTTCAGAGCTGTTGTTAAAAGGGTCCCTATGAGCAGCAGTTGACTAGACAGCACCTAACAACAACAACATACCTCCCACCAAGGAGTCCAGGTAGTATACTGTGGAATATATCAGGCTGCTAACACCAAAAGGTTGAGGTTCAAATCCATTAGCCACTCTGTAAGAGAAAGGGGGTAATCTCCTCTTGTAAAGATTTAGTCTTGGAAACCCAATGGAAGGTTGCTAAAAGATAACCAATTCAGCAGCCATGAGTGGGTCAAGGCCCATGTAGAGGCTGATTGATAAATAAATCAATTAAATCTTTTTGGGGGAGGAAACTTTAAAGAGAGAAAAAAAGACAATGGGCAGAGTTAATTTTTATAAGAATTGACAATGGAGGTTCTTACATATAGATATTTTAAGATAAAGAATCTACAACAGCTACTTCAAAACTTCACAAGCCATTTTATTTTTTAGGTTTCTTTTTTCCTTTAAATTTTTTTAATTTTATTATTTGTGTGTGTGTGTGTGTACCATCAAATCGGATCTGACTAGTACAGGAGGAGATTACGCTTCCTTTTCCAGTAGAACATCCGGTGGATTCAAACCACATACCTCTGGGATTAAAGTGTAGCTTCTTACTAGGATACCAGAACTCCCTGTTTTTTAAGTTTCTTAAGCAAGGATGAGCTAATAACTAACAAAGACAATGTGAAATTTAAGACACACACTATACATAAAAATACCACTGTCTATATTTTTATTTCAGCCACTAAATTTTTCCCTCAATAGTTTCCCCATATTTCTCTCCTTATTGATCCTTGATTCACAAATCTAAAATGGTTAAAATATCTAATATTCAAATTCTAAATTCTGTAAATGCTTGATGCTTAAAACACAAAGATTTAAAATCTCAATTCAGTACTTAGTTCTTACCTGCAGCTTCTGATGTATTTGAAATAATTCATCATATATCTGATTGACATGATGTGGAAGTAAACTCTGCTTGCTGGATATTTTAGATGTTGGACACTTAACATTCTTCAAAGGAGAACCACTCGTATCACTAAAGTACTCATTCCAAGTTCTTGCATTTAAGGTCAAATTCATTGGCTGGACAAGTGCTAAACAAATTTTAAGTGAAATATTATTAATTTATTATTAAATATTCACAGTCATCTTCAAGAAGAATTATCTTGAATATGAAATGACACATTTTTAAAAATTTGAAGCGTAACATAAAGAGAGAAAGGATAAAAACACAAATGTTGTTAAATAACATTTGTAAATCTGGGAGACTTGTATAAAGTAATTCACTACATTCTTTTTTTAACTTTTTTGTATGTCTGCAATGCTTTCAAAATAAACTATTTTAAAGTAAATGAAAACATACATGTATTAACTTTCTATCCCAAGAAATGAAAAATTAGCTTAGAAATTCCTGATAACATTTCCCTCTCTCCTAAGCAAATTTAATCAATAGAATTTATTGCTATCTTATTTTTTTATTTTTTACCACTTATGTATCTGAAAAAAAACCCTTGTTTCATTTTGCTTGTAAATTTCATTTTATATTCTTTCTGTAATTATGTAAATTATGCAACTTCTGTTATTTTCTCCTTTAAAGAATGCTTTTATAAGAATCATTTCTATTGATACAACTATCAGAGGTTCATATATTTCTACTGCTCTGTTTTATAATAATCTACTATATATGCATATATGGATGTTTTGGCTAGAGAAAAGCTACACAGTCGTGAACGTAATTCCTGGTACACATGTTCAAAAGTTTCTCTAGAGCATATAGCTAGTAATAAAATCGTTAAATTAGATAATTTAAATGGAGGTTCCATTTTACTAAAAAGTCAACCTGGTTTACAAATTTTTTTTTCTAAAAATATTTCTTAAATACTGATCTTTACTTCGAATAATAGCAATGGATCACTCCAACTGCACCATACCCTTGCCAACACTGTCATAATTTTCCATTCCTTCTGAGGGTAAGAAACTATCTCATGGTGGTTTCATTTTACATTATCCTTTTACCTCTAAGGAAGATGTTCCCATTATTATAATCGTAACTCTTCTGCAGACCCTGGGCTCCACTCTCTACCTGGAATCTGAAGGAGCCAAACGAGTCTTAGAGACTATATAGCTCAACTGCAAAACAGGTCTATAAGGTAAACAGAAATACCAAGGAAGTTGTCATTCCTTCGAACAATCAACCGTACAAGATGAAAAGAGCAGCATTAGCCCAGAGCTAAAACTCAGAGGCAGCAACGGGTAGGATAGAAAGGTTGATGGACATTAGAATCAGAGGGATAAAACAGGAAGAGTATGGTTACTATGTAAGTATAAAAATATATGTTAATTTTTAAAAAATTCCATTTCAATAAATGTCCTTTCAGTGCTCTGCTTCGTAACTGTGAAACTTCGTCTCACGTACTTTAGGCATGTTGTCAGGTGGGGCCAATCTTTAGAGAAACACATCACACTGGGAAAGCTAGATGGTCAGTTAAAGAGAGGCAGAGCCCTAACAAATATGAATCGATACAGTAACTGTAACAACGGGTTCAAGTGTATCAGAAATCATGAGGATGGCACAAGATAGCACAAGCTTCAGATCTGTTGTTGTTCACAGGGTTGATAAAAGTTGTAGTTGACCTGATGACATCTAACAAGATCAACAATTCCCTGGAGAAAGTTATCATGCTTGGTAGAGGATTGGGAGAAAAGTAGAAGACCCTCAAAAAAAGATGGACTGACATAGCAACTGCAATAATGGGCTCAAGTATAGGAGACATGAGGAGGACAGCACAGTACCAGGCAGGGTTTCACTCCATTGAACTCAAGGCTGTTATGAGTTGGAGTCAACAGCACCTTAACAGCAACCACCACCACCACATTTCAGAGGAAAAGACCAACACACAGAAACACAAGTCCAGCCAGAATCTTTTTTTCTTATCTCTACAAATCAAGAAGGCAAAACTAGAAAAAAGATGTAAAAGAGAAAGGACAGCAGAAAATGAATGCATGCTGTTTGTAGACAACTTATTTCCAGATGAAATGCACTAATATTAATAATGGGACAACAGTGCTCATCCAATCTTATAGCTTAGCGAGAGGGAAGCACCATATCTGGTCCTCTCAGTTTTTGAAATTCTGATAAAATTCTAAAATGCAACCACAAGAGTTCAGTAACTAAAGAATTCCAAATCACATAATTTACTTTCTAAAAATATTTAAGGGTTAATCAAAACCCATCATAATAATTTACTAACTTTCTAACAATATATTAACATCTAAAAAGCCTCACAAAAATTAAAGACAAAAAAGTATTTATTTGATTTTTAACTTACTTTGGTAAATCCTGAGACCAAAAAAATTACTATTGGAAAAACATCAGTATAAGCTTTTTCTTATTTTCTCCTCCAGTTTCAATAAAGACAGTAACTATTATATATCTAACAAATAAATCAGCATACAGAGAATTACAGACTGCTCAGAACCAGAGTCATTACTTTTGGAATAAGCTTTACAGACTTTATCTGACAAAATGATTCACTGAAAAGAAACATTTCTTTTACCTTTATCCATTTCTTTATGGTTGCAAACTTTGGAGGCACTAACTCTATGTTCATTCTCAATTAACTCTTCAGTTTCCCATTGCTTCAAATCATGAAAATAATTCAGTTCATCATCTAAGCTTTAAAAAAAAAAATCTATCATCACAATCTGGAAGTTTTCTACACCATATTTTTTTCTTTTTTCCTACACATTTTAAAACGGCTTTTCAAACATTAACAGGAAAAGATTATTAAGAAATAGTGCAAAAAGTAACAATCATTGATCCTGATGACGCATTAAAAATAAGCACTTTTTGGCCTTCTCTACCTTTTCAAAAGTGCTGAACTTAAAACTACATAAGGCTATAGAATACTACACCACTTTCCAACACTTTCTTTTGTTGTTCTTGTTTAATGCCGTCGAGTCGTAGATGACTCATAGCGACCCTATGAACAAACAACCTGAGCACTGTTCATACATAGAGTTTCCAGAGGCAAGCCATTTTGGAAGTGGATGCCGCTCCTGCTTCCGGGCTTGATTTAGTCGGGAAACTCCAGCCAACACTGTCCACCATGGGTGCCCATTACCACGACTGGCACATCACCGTCACAGGCTTCAGCATCACAGCAACCACGAGTTACCTCTGTACAGCAACGCACCCAGTGCTATATCACCTAGAAGAATGTTTGACAGGAAGACAATTTGAACCTGGCCGAGGGCCGCAGGCCCGAGGGCCCTTTGGGCTTAAGGACACCTCCTGGTTCAAACCCTAGGCCCAGGCTAGCTAGCCTCACTCCAGGGACAGAGCAAACCTGCACATCAAACACATTCCCGGAAAAGCAGTCAACTCCAAAAACTTGCCACGATTCCTGCACTTCCACCACCACGCTCCTGCCTTCTGGCAAGGAGAGCTTCCCAAGAGCTGGGAGGAGCCGGCCAAACCAGGAACAACATGGCCACTTCTTCCCCACTGCCTTGGGCTTAAGGCCGCCTCCTGGTTCAAACCCTAGGCCCAGGCTGGCTAGCCTCACTCCAGGGACAGAGCAAACCTGCACATCAAACACATTCCCGGAAAAGCAGTCAACTCCAAAAACTTTCTTTTAGCTGACTAAAAAAAAATCCATTTTATAGATATCACAAGTATTCCTTATGCACAGTGTTGGATAAAAGAACTAATGTTTCACATGAGGAAACAGAATTCCAAAAATTTAAATGACTAACAGAGTACAACAGAATCCTAGGGAGTCTTTCCAAAAGTTAAGATTATTTCAGAATGGAAATTTCTACAGCAGTGCTGTTCAAAAAGAATCTAAAGCATGTAGAATATATGATGTTTAATATTCTAGCACCAGCTTAAAATCACTAAAAGCAAAGGGTAAAAGTTAGGTAATGTACAAGATTGCTTTAAGTCAGAATTTACTCCAGAGCACCCAACCACTAGCAGCATATCCAAAACATTTCAACATATAATACAAAACATGAGATAATTTACCCATGTTGTATCATAAAAGTGTGTATTTTACACAGGAGAACACATTAGAGTTCAGATAGCTATACTTTAACTACTCAACAGACACACGTGCCCTGTACCTATTGTATTAGCATAGCTATAGAACAAATAATTCACAACAAGGGATTCTGGAAAAATTCTGCAATGTTATAAAATCTCCAAAGACCAAAACCTGTCAATTATAACTTGAAAGTACACATAAATCATGTATGAAAATATAAAACCATCTGTTAAGTATAGGAATACAATTTCATTAATTCACAAATATTACATTAAAGCAAAAGGAACCTAAAGAATCCTACCTAGTAAAGCATATGGTTAAGTGGCTGGCCCAATCACCCTACACCTGCGCTCAAGGGAAAGATCTGGCTATCTGGTCCCATAAAGATTATAGCCAAGAAAACTATGAGACCACTCTATTCTACCACATGGGGTTATTATGAGTCGAAACTACTATCCAGTAACACATTCTCTCTACCTCCTGTGCAATCTTGAATTCAAATGAACTAGGTCATTTTGTGATTATCAACTGAAAGCTAACAATAAGGACACTCAGTAAATACAATGTTCCCAGCACTGTCCTTAGTGCTCTATAGTCATTAACTCATTTATTAGAGAATGAAGATATTGTGAAAAAATTCAAGATCACCAGTATTAATTAGATATTTTACCCACTGCTACAGAGTTATTTAACACCTAACAATCCAACAGGGTTTTCAGCCTATAATCTTTACAGAAACAGAATGCCACTCCTTGATTCCACAGAGCAAATAGGTACCATTTGGTTAGCTGCCAAGCTCATAACCATGACCCTCCCTGCCAAACCAAGTGCAGGTGGTTCAAACCTAACAGTTTATCCATGGGAGGAAGATGGGCAATCTCCTCCAGAGTGTTTTATAGCCCCTGGAAACTTGCTGAGTTTTCAGAACTCTGAGTTAGTTGTGACCAGACAACACATGACATGCATTTATATATGTGTAAAACATATTCTTATGGCTTAGTGTAAGGAGCTGCAACCCAGGCTCAAATCCACCAGTTGCTCCGTCAGAGAAAGATGGGCAATTTACTCTTGTGCAATTTACTGCCTCTGAAAATCTGATGGAGGTTCAGCTGTGAGTCAGTTTCGACTTCACAGCACACAAGAATACGTTGTGTGTGTGTGTGTGTGTGTGTGAGAGAGAGAGAGAGTAAGAGAGAGAGAGAGAGAGAGAGAGGTGTGTGTGTGTGGGTGAGAGAGAGAGAGAGTGTATGTGTGGGTGTGTTACACCTTATTTCAAAATGTAAACCCCTGAATACGCACAGCATTTTCTTTCTGCTATGTACTTTTCCATATACCATGGACTGCTAAGAGAATGAACAGGTTCGTCCTAGAGAGGGTTAAACCAGACTGCTCTTTGGTTGCAAGGATTCTGAGGCTTCATCTGACATACATTGGACATGTTGCAAGGAAGGAAGGACTTTGGAGAGGGATGTAATGCTTGAGAGGGTGGAGGGATACAGCAGGAGAGGAAGACCCTCAATGAGATAGATTGATTCAGTAACTGGCATAATGAGGGTAGGTGTGTCAGAGACAATAAGACTGGCACAGGATAGAGTAGGGTTTAGGGCTGTTGTACATAGGGTCACTATGAGTCACAGGCGACTTAATGGCTCATAGCAACATTTATTTTTGACAGCAAAATTCCATTTGGAACTTTTTGTCATTTTGGCTTCTACTGCTTTTATATTAGCTTAACCCATAGTATTATCTCCTCTGTAAAAGTGACAACAATTTGCTGTCCAGGACTGAATCTAGTTTGGTAGTTGGCATCTTCAGATACTCTGGCTCTCCATCTTGCAACTACCTAAAATATAGTGCTCAGCACACATTTCTTTCAGAAATAAGCAAAAAATATATACACAATGTGCCCTTTTCCCATTCTACTTTTTTTAAGATACTGCAGGAATAGAAACAGAAAGGATTTGGAACTATTTACCAATTTTTGCTTAATTGTTTCAATGAACTTGTAAGAGGTGTTGTAGGATGCTTTCCTTCATTAGAACAAAACCTTGATGATAAATCAGCTTTATCTCTAAATGAATAGAAACCCAAATCATCTGTAAACATAAAAGAAAACACTAGAGATTACTTATTTGCAATTACACACAAATAATCCCTGAGGTTTCAAAGATCCAAACCAAAAACTAATCCCACTGCCGATAAATTGATTGCAACTCAGTGACTCTCCATCTGTTTTCCATCAAGTTTCTGAATCTGTAAATCTTTATGGAAGGAGTTGTTGTTTTGTGCCATCAAGTTGGAGGTGACCCATAGCTGATGCTCCGTGTGTTTTCGGTAAAGCGCACAGGAAAATGCCCTTCTTTCTCCGTTGGAGCAGTACAGCCGGTGAATTCAGACTAAACTGACATTTGAGTTTATGGCACAAAATTAGCACACTATTCTACAAGAGCTCCTCAAGGCTCAAAAGATAAGACTGATAAATTACTTCAGGGGTTGGTTCCCCCCCCCTGTATTATCTCCCTAAATAGATGACAAAGTTAAAACAAAACAAGAAGCATCAAATGCTATTTGATCCTAGCAATAACCCTGTGTAGTGAGTAAGCTAGATACCTTTAATCTTTATCAACAGAGACCTGCTAGATGTGCAGGCTAGGTTTAGAAGAGGATGTGGCAATAAGGATGTTACATGGATCTTGGCAGAAAGCAAGGAGTACCAGAGAAATGTCTATCTGTGTTTTATTGACTATGCAAAGGTATCTGACTGTGTGGATTACAAGAAACTGTGGCTGACTCTAAGAATGGGAATCCCAGAATACTGGCTCATGCTTATGTGAAACCTATATTTGGATCAGGAGGCAGTCATTAGAACAGAGCAAGGAAACACTGCATGGTTCAAAATGAGGAAAGGTATATGCCAAAGATGTGTCCTATCTCCATATCTTTTCAATCTATATATGTGGAACAGATCATCTGGAGACTGGGCTCTATGAGGAAGAATGTAGCATCAGAATTGGAAGAAGACTCATCAACAACCTACGTTATGCAGATGACACAACTTTGCTTGCTGAAAGTGAGGAGGACCTAAAGCACTTGCTGCAGAAAGTCAAGGACTGCCACCTTCAATATGGACTGAAGCTCAATAGCAAGAAAACAAAGATTCTCACCACTGGGCCAATTGGCAGCATCATGATACATAATGAAGAGACTGAGATTGTTAACAGCTTTAGATTGCTTGTCTCCACAATCAGCACTGCTGGTATTAGCAGCCAGGAAACTGAATTGGGAAAATGTGCAGTGGAGGACCTCTCCTAAGTAATGGTGAGCAATGGTGAGTAACTGAGCAACGTTGTCAGTCTGGATACTAAGGTGCACCAGATCCATGATATGGTCTACACAATTACTTGATATGCATCAGAGAGCCAGACAGTGACTAAGGATGACAGAAGAATTGATGCTTTTGAGCTGTGGTGCTGGAGAAGAGTATAGAATATACCACAGATGCTTAGTAGAACAAACAGATTCATCTTAGAGAGGGTGAAACTAAGCTACTCCTTGGAGGCATGGACGCTGAAGCTCCATCTCACATACTTTGGGCAAGGAGGGGACCAGTCCTTAGAGAGAAACATCATGCTTGGAAGGGTAGAGGGACAGCACAAGAGAGGAAGACTCTGGATGACATGGATTGACTCAGTAACTAGGGTAATGGTGTAGGTGTGTCAAGAGTTCAGAGATGTTGTACATAGGGTCGCTATGAGTTGCAAGTGACTCAGTGGCACATAACAACAACAACAGGTCAAGATCCTGTGGACCAGAGAGGTTATATAAGTTTTCCCAAGCTAGCAAGTGAGAAGACTAAAATTTAGAATTCAGACTTCTACTTAATTATACAAACCTTTATCTGCCCTCAAATAATTAACACAAATCTTTAGCAAAATTAAATGAACTAAAGCAAATCAGTTACTTCTCTATCAAGAAACTAAGAAATATTCTTTAAATATATAAGTTCTTCTCTAACACTTCTATACTCCTCAGACATGGACAGATACATACTTTCTAAATTATATTGTCCAGCAAAATTCATTACTAAGACACAATTTTCATTTTCATCTTTTAGTACTCAGTAACATCTACTGTATTTTTTTTCTGTTTCTGAAGGTTATTTTTTCTCAGGATCCAAAGATTATTTCTTCAAATCAACTAATTTTAGTTGAAAAGCGATTTACTGATCCAATTAGCCAGCATCTCTCACCAAAGCAACAAGGAATGACCTTTATTTCTCATTTCAAAATTACTAAATTTGGAGAGAAAAATTCTCTAGTCAACCATGTGATGAAATTTAGTAACGCCGTATGCTGTAATTACCCCAAAGTTCAGCAGTTACATTTACTAAATAAAAAGTACCTAATATATGTGGGAGCTCTAGTAGCCTAGTCAGTAGGGAACTGTGCAGCTAACTCAAAGGCCACACCTCTCTCGTGGTTCAAAAACAACGGAGCTCCCAGGGAACAAAATGAGTGATCTCCCATGAGAGTTACGGCACTGCAAACTCAAAGGAGGGTCAGCTATGAGTCAGTTCTGAATGGATGACAATGAGAGGGAAGACGTATCAGCAAAGTAGTATGTTAATGGAGAGTAATTGTTGTTGTTATGTGCCATTGAGTCCCGAGACCCACAGTAACCCTATGTACAAAAGTCCTGTCTCTGACCCGCCTAACCCATTGCCCCAGTTACTGTATCAATCCATCTCACAGAGGGTCTTCCTCTCTTGCGCTGTCCCTCCACCCTCCCAAGCGTGATGTTTCTCGCCAAGGACTGATCCGGCCTTACAATATGTCCAAAGTATGTCAGATGAAGTTTCAGAATCCTTGCCTCCTAGAAGCAGCCTGGTCTCATCCTCTCTAGAATGAACCTGTTTGTTCTCCTAGCAGTCCATGGTATATTTAATACTCTTCTCCAGCACCACAGCTCAAAGGCATCAATTCTCCTTCTATCATCCCTAGTCACTGTCCAGCTTTCTGATACATAGCAAACAACTGCAAAGACTGTGGTCTTAATCAGGCACACCTTAGTCTCCAGACTGACATCGTTGCTCTTCAGTACTTTGGACAGAGCTCTGACACCAGACTTGCCCAATGCAATTCGTCTTTTAATTTCCTGGCTGCTGGTACCAAGAATGTTGATTGTGGAGCCAAGTAAACGAAAGCTCTTAACAGTCTATCATGATGTTGCCAAATTAGCCCAGTGGTGAGAATGTTTGTTTTCTTGATGTTGAGCTTCAATCCGTATTGAAGGCTGTAATCCTTGACTTTCTGCAGCAAATACTTCAGGTTCTCTTCAGTTTCAGCAAACAGGGTTGTGTCATCTGCATAACACTGATTGCTGATAAGTCTTCCTCCAATTCTGATGCCGCATTCCTCCTCACACAGTCCAGCCTTCCAGATAATCTGTCCTACATATAATAGACTGGAGAGGTATAGAAATAGGACACATCCTTGGAGTATACCCTTTCCAATTTTGAACTATGCAGTGTCTCCTTGCTCTGTTTGGATGACTGCCTCCTGGTCCAAGTATAGGTTTCACAAAAGCACGATCAAGTGTTCTGGGATCCCCATTTTTCTCAGAGTCAGCCACAGTTTGTTGTGATCCACAAAGTCAAATGCCACTGCATAGTCAATGAAGCACAGATAGACATTCCTCTGGTACTACCTGCTTTCAGACAAGATCCATCTAACATTAGGTATAATATCCCCTGGTACCATGGACTCTTCTAAACCCAGCCTGCACTTCTCAGTTGATATGCTTTTCCAGTCATTTTTTTTATAACCTTCAGCAGAATCTTGCTTGCATGTGATATAAATGATATTGTTTGATAATTTCTGCACTCATATATAATTTCCAGAATCTTATCTTGGTAGAATAAAACAAATAACTTAGTTACACAGGAACATACAGAAAGTACTATCCACACAATAACAGTCAAATCTTTTGGACCCATATACTTGATCAATTCCTCCTCTAGTGCAATAATATGATATCAATAATTTCAATAAATTTATCAATTTAAAAGTCAGCAATTAGTTCTCCATATTCAATTCATTTTTAACATCTTTAAAGGAAGAAATACTGTAAAGGAAAACATAAAAGTAATTCACTTTGTTTTTTATTTTATATCCATTTGTACACAAAATTTGTATACATCTTATTTCATTCATGTGCATTATTATACTTCACATGTTCCTTCATTCACACTGTCTTTCACACAATCATTCATATATGTTGTGTTTTACAATATCACTCACCAATGACCTATTTCTACCATTACCCCATCTTTTAAGCTCTTCACTTTGATTTTTAAAGCTATATTACACATCTTTTTAAAAAACTGAATACAGTAGGTTCATTAACCAACAGGAAAAAACCTTGGTGTCACAACACATATGGCATTATTACAAGTCTGAACAAGTTACCTTTATTTCTTTATCTTTAAAAATTTGTTAAAAACCTCCAAATATCCAAAATACTCTATTGGCTTACCTGAGTATGTTAGAGAGCTCCTCTGACATTTAGCCTGCTCAGAATTTGAAAAATCATACTAAAAAAAAAAAGCCAACAATATTTTTAATAAAACTCCATTTATAGTCCCAAAACAGCTCCCCACATATTATATATTAATAATAATTATAAAAGTAATTAATTACAAAGGTTACTGTAGAGAAATTAATGGGTACAGCCTTAACCAAAAGGTCAAAGTTACCATCACCAGTAAATGGATAAACCATCACGTGGCTCCTGATGAACAGGGAAGGGCACATCTTATGCATGGAGCACGACCAGAAATCCACAGCTATCAAGTCAATTCCGACTCATAACAATCCTACAAGACAGAGATAACTGCTCCAAATGGTTTTCAAGACTGTAAATCCTTACAGAAACAAGCTGTCACTCCTTCTTCCACTGAGCAGTGTGTAGGTTTGAACTGACAATCACCTTTTGGTTAGTTGCTGAGGGCTTAACCACTGCACTACACGGGCACCTTCCTTGTAGTATGCCTGCAGTCAAATTTAAACTCATTGTCAGTTGAGTTGGGTTTAGACTCACAGCTACCCTCCAATCAGGCTTCCAAGGCTATAAATCACAATGGGAGGAGTCTGCCAATCTTTACTGAGGAGCTTGTGGTGAATTTAAACTGCCAATGTACAGTGCAAATGACTACAACCCACCTCACTTGGGCTCCTGTACCTGCCAAAACCAAATCATAAGGTATCCACTGGCCATGCTTCATTGTAAATTGTCTCATATTCCATTATCACTGTATAGGAAAAAAAGGTTAGCTTTCTAGATGAATGGTAACAAAATGCAGTGTGCATTCCTGCACTGGGAAATGGAGCAAGAAAAATACCTCCACAAAGAAAATTAATGAGATACACTGATGAAATCTGAATGTGGACTAGGAATTACACTTGAACACTGGATTAATATTAAATTTTCTGATCATTTCATTTTGCTTATCTTAAGAATGTCCTCATTATTAATTAAAACAAAAATTAAGTATTTCTACTTATGGGCAAATGCACACGATACCACCCAATCATCTAAAAGAGCTAAGAGAGAAAAAAAAAAAAATGAAGGCGAGAGAATGGTAGAACAAATAAGGCAGAGGTTAACTGGCAAATCCAAGTGAAGGGTACAAAGGAGGTTACCATATGTTTCTTGCAACTTTACACGAAACTATTTAAAAATATAAAGCATTTAAAAAGGGATTAACTAGTTGTTTTGCTGGTTTTGGGGTTTTTTTTAACTCTACTAAAGTATTTCTTAAGATAAAAGAAAGTTCAAAAATAATTTCTACACTACCTTCGGTGTACTTTCTTTTTTAAGACATATTCTTTTTATTTTGGTTAAGATGACTACGATTATTGTTCCCTATGCAACCAATTTTTGCTTATAACTACAATTTTATTCAGGTTAACAAGACAGAAGGTGAAAAGACAACTTTGATTGTGAAGATCTAATTGAAAGAATAAATAAAATTTCAATGTACTTTCTACAAGCAAGTTTCATATAAATAAGTTGTTGTTGTTGTTGCTGATTGCTGTTGAGTCAAGCATGACTCATAGCAACCCTGTGAAAAAAGGCCGAAGCGATTCTATAACTATCATCATTTATCAAAGTTCATAGAGTTTCCAGAGGCAGGTTGTTTAGGAAAAGAATGCCACTCCTGCTTACAAACCTGTCTTAAACTAGGAGACCCAGCAAACACTATCCACCATGAGTAACCATTATCACATTTGGCACCCTAATGGCACAAGGTTCAGCATCACAGCAACCTCAGGTTACCTTTGTACAGAATGTTGAAAGAAGAGTGCTGTACCACTTAGAAGAATGTTCCTCTCAAATACAATAACCAACTTTTAAATACAAAGGCCTTCCCCAAGGTCTTGTTGACTCTAAACGAGAGGCTTAAATTAAAATAAATAAATAAATAGTGTGTGTGTGTGTGTGTGTGTGTGTGTGTGTGTGTGTGTAGTGTTTGTTATGTGCTGTTGAATTGCCTGTCACATATAGCGACCCTATGTAAAGCAGCTCTGAATTCTTCCCTGTCCTGAGCCAGTCTCACTAATTCTGACACCAACCCCCATTGCCCCAGATACTGTATCAATCTATCTCATCCAGGGTCTTCCTCTCCTGCGCTGTCCCTCCACCCTTCCAAGCATGATGTCCTTCTCCAACAACCAGACTCTCCTGGCCACAGACCCAAAGTATGTGAGACAGAGCTTCAAAATCCTAGCCTCCAAGGAGAGGCTTGGCTTTACCCTCTCCAAGTCAGATTTATTTTCTTGGCAGTCCATGGTATGTTCAAGACTCTTCTCTAACACCACAACTCAAAGGGATCTATTCTTCTGTCATCCTTAGTCATTGTCCAGCTCTCTGAAGCATAACAAGTAATTGAGAAGACTATGACCTGGATTAGGTGCACCTTTGTCTCTAGAATGACATCATTGCTTTTCACGCCTCAAGAGGTACATGAGAAATTTTCCCAATGCAATTCATCTTTTGATTTTTCTGACTGCTGGTGCCAAGAGTGTTGACTGTGGAGCAGAACAACCTCAATCTCTTCTCCATCTATCATGGTGGTGCCAATTGGCCCAGTGGTAAGAATCTTTGTCTTCTTGATGTTGAGCTTCAATTCATACTGAAGACTACAGTGCTTGACTTTCTACAGCAAGCACTTCAGGACCTCTTCAGTTTCTGCAAGCAAGGTTGTGTCATTTGCATATTGTAGGTTGCTGAGGAGTCTTCCTCCAATCTTGATGCCACACTCCTCCTCATAAACCCCTGCTTCCCAAATGATCTGTTCTGCATACAGATTGAAATGGTATGGAGACAGGATACGTCCCTGACTCACTCCTTTCCTGTTTTTGAACAACTGTGTTTCCTTGCTCTCTTCTGAATACTGCTATTTGGTCCAAGTATAAGTTTTGCATAAGTACAATCAAGTGTTCTGGGAGAAATCTTTAAAAGGTATAGTGAGGAAAAAGTTCTCTGTTGTTCATTACATACTCTTTTAAGCACTCTCTCTATGGAATCAAATTGGCAATATCAAATCAAAAGACTGGACAGGTACCTAAAGAGGCAGTGAGTTTACTTTAACCAGGGAGGAACAAACTAGCAAATGAGGGTGAGAATGGCTCCACAACTGAAAGAATGTAATCAATGTCGATGAACTTTACGAGCTGAAATTGTCAAACTGGTATGTCTTGCTGTGCATAATCACAACAAAATTAACTTTTATATTGTTATAAAAAGTTATAGTTTTTTCTGTTAGAAACTTGATCCTTCTATGCATTTGACATGTTATCTCTCAAGCATAGCATGTCCGTACAACAAACTACCTTGCTCCTGGCTAAGTTTCACTACATCCAATTTTGTGCAAAGGGTAGTAAGCACAACGCTTTTCCTAAACTTTAAAACGGCACCAGCTTGCTGGGTTTTCCTGTCAGTTTTCCAACAGGCTCTGAAAACCACCGTAGGGAAGAGGTCTTCGGGTACCGTGATCCACAGTTAATAGCAGCCTCAGTTCCCAAATGTTGAGGCAGAGCTGACTAGTTGACACCTCCAGGGTCCAAACGGGCCAACTCTAAGAAGGGCTTCTCCAGTTAACAGGAGACTTGGGGAAGAGAAGACAAAAACAAGGACTGGGGCTTCGGGGCAGGAAGGAGGACGAAGAGGAGATGGTCTCACCTCTTCGGGGAAGTTGCTCCCTAGCCCGTACAGGCTTTTGAGGCGCTCCACTGCGAGGTCTTGACCTGGGGGCTTCACCACCCGAGGCTCCATGACTGTGCTTGGTTGCCGTTGTCTCTGCAGCAACAGCGTTCAAACCCGCGGCGAGGCGGCAAGGGGCGGAGCGCGTGGATGCGGTCTGCGTCATGGCGCAGAATGCGTGACGCATAGCGCGTCTACGTCCTGTCGCATCTAAAATGTGGTTGACGGTTGTAAGGCAAAGTGTGCTTGTCCATCAGGCCTGAGCTGGTGAGGTGACCGATGAGCGTGAAGCAGCCGGGCGCCCAAGGAGCATTTTAATACTAAGTGGACCTCACTCACTGGTTTGATGATGCCCGTCTATGTAGGTTTATATCCTCGCGTTAGTGGTGCCTAATGAGTAGACCACTTATCGCTTTACAAGCGTTTGTAATTAGATAAACATTTTTCCCTTTAGTAGTGGGGGGGGGGGGGAGGAATTTTTTTGCACACTGGATTTTCCCTCAGTCGTGAAAAAGCAAAAAAACTTTAGAAAGACTGTGATAAATGGCCTCCAATCTGAACACTAAATCCCACTTTAGTTGATCTGGCGGGTCACTCACCCCACCCCTAAGAAGCTTAAGGACATTGTTGTTAGGTGTCCAGTCGGTTCGTAGTGACCCAAATGAACAGATCTGACACTTGCCCTATCCTGCTCCATCTTCACCATCCCTGATATGCTCAAGCCCAGTGTAAAAAAGTCACTGTGTCATTCTATCTTGTTGGAGGTCTTCTCTGACTTTTATACATTCCACAGATGTAATCTGATTCCTGTGTAGTTCATCAGGTTAGGGCCATGTGTACAGTCGCCTTTTTCGTTTTTAGAAAACGTATTGACAATTAATCGTTGTTTGTTGTTGTTATGTGCCGTCGAGTCGCTTGCGACTCATAGCGACCCTATGTACAACAGCCCTAAACTCCGCTCTGTCCTGTGCCAATC